TAAATACAGCACCTGTATGTGTCAGCTAGTTTAACCACTTGCCCTCCAGAGGATTTACCTCCCTTCCTGACCAGGCCATTTTTTTTGCAATACAGTGTTCTGTTACTTTAACTGACAATTTCACGGTCATGCAACGCCACACCCAAATGACATTTTCGTCCTTTTTTTTTCCCCACCAATAGAGATTTCTTTCAGTGGTATTTGATTGCCTGTGCATTTTTTATTTTTTGCAGTATAAAGAAAAACAACCCCAACAATTTTGAAAAATAAATTTTTTTTTGACTATTTCTATTAAACATGTCCAGTAAAAAAAATTAAAAAATCAAATTTCTTCATAAATGTAGGCCAAAATGTATTCTGCTCCATGTCTTTGCTAAAATAAATCCAAATACGTGCACATTAATTTGTTTACGTGAAAGTTATAGCAATTACAAATGGCGGTATATATACTGGGATTTTTTAAATTTTTTTTTTACTAGTAATGGCAGTGATTAGCGACTTATAGTGGGACTGCGGTGGGCATTCTGACACTGGGGGGGGGGGGGGGGGACTGACTAACTGCCACTGACATCCCCAAGTTATAGCATTTACAAATGGCGGTATTTATACTGGAATTTTTTTTTTCATACTAGTAATGGCGGCGATCAGCAATTTATAGAGGGAATGCGGGACTACAGCGGGCATTCTGACACTGGAGGGGAACTGATTAACTGCCACTGACATCTCAATGACACTAATACAGTGATCAGTGCTAATAAAAAGCACTGACACTGTACTAATGACACTGGGCAGAAAGGGGTTAACATCTATGGTGATTAAAGGGTTAACTGTGTGCTCTTTTACTATGTGTGTTGTGTGTGTGTGCTTTACACTGTAAGCACTCTGCTTTGTATTGGTCTGCTATGCAGAGCCATACAAAGCAGTGTGCAGGAGCTGACAGGGGAGAGATCTGTGTTGTTTACATACAGGTCTCTCCCCCATCGGTAATTCTTGGAGATCACGGGTGTCGGTGGGGAATTCCCGGCTGGGACCCGGTGATTGACATCTGAGGCCGCGCATTTCCGAGTGTAGTTCGGGGTTAACTTTCAGTACCACAAGCGGTAACCCCCCCCCCCCAGCTACACTCGGGAATACACTGCAGCGTTGCTCCGGGATCCCTCCTGCACTTACCTTGTCCTGCGCTCCCGCGATGTCCTCCCGGCAGCGTCCCCTGTAATGTCCTCCGGCCGATGCCTTCTGGGTTCTATTCCCTGCGAGCATCGGGACATACAGTACACACGGGGAACGAAACCAGCAGGAAATTCAAAAATTTTAAAAGCGACATTCACTAAATACACTAAAATCACATAGTATAACATTCCTGTATTAAACCATTTCACATACATTTTGTCCCGAGTGCTTTGTCCGGCGCCCTGCCTGCATTGTTACTGTTCTTTCTGCCTGGAAACTGAGATACGTCCATGGCGTCCAAAAAGCGTCCCTTTAGGTCAAAAGCGGTTTTAGACCGGCTAGAGAACAGCCATAGTAAATCAGAACCACTTGCAGAATTGAGTGATAATGATTCGTGGGGGAAATTCCTCATCAGACACTGAAAATGATTCTGCGACTGAGCTCAGCGATGTGCGAACTTGGTGCTATATTTCACATTTCAGTGTTTTTGGTTTGATTACATTAGTGAATTAAATTTATTATTATATATAGGATTATTTATTAAATTATAATTTATGATTTCGTGTTTCAAATTTTATCCTCCCCGGGATGTTTACTAGACTCTTGTTCGGACAGATTTCAGTGAGTTATTCCTAAGAATTACAGGCCTACAATAAAAAAAAATACATATTTCCATGCAAAAAAAATGTACCGCTTTGAGCACAGAAATATGGACATAATCAGACTGCTAGGGAGGTTAAAGCGGGAATAATAATTAAAAAAAATAAAAATAACAGACATCTCTATACTTACCTGCTCTGTGCAATGTAATTGCAATGAGCGGCCCCGAACCTCCTCTTCTCAGGTCCGTCGCTGACACTCCAGGCTCCTCCTCTCTGTCCAGTGCCCCCACAGGAAGCTGCTTTCCATGGCGGAACTTGTGCATGTTTGTCCCAGAGTCCCATTGACATCGTTCATTGACACAGATAGTGGGACTCGGCCCCGCCCCCCACTTCCTCTTCACTGGAGTTAATTGACAGGAGCGGGAACCAGTGGCTCCTGCTGCTATCAAGCTGCCCAATGAGGAGGGAGGCAGCAGCGAGAGGATAGGATGTGGATTGGGCTCAGCTACAATTAAAGGGAGGCTGGGGGGGATCCTACAGCAGAGAAAGTTTTTTACCTTAATTCATTCTATGCATTGAGACTTTAGACCCACTTTAAGACATATTTCATGGTTTTGATCTAATTATTTATTTTGTAAACGTATCTATCAATGCTACTTTATAATTGTGCAGCTAATGCTTCAGCTAATGTTCCAAGAGATGTCTATTTTACCAATTTTTTTTTTCATTAAATCTATGGTTAGCACATTTTTCTTTCTTAAATCCTTGCAGACCTATACTCTAGAGAGCTCTATTCATATCGTTAGATTGTTGTCTATTGCAGAGAGTATATAAGACCAAACAGATTGCCGTGATACCAAGCAAAGCTAATTTGATAGCAAAGCTGTTATATTTTTTCCACTGAGGATTTCTATGCACAACAATTTATATGTATTCTGCATAATTGATATATAATATATATAAGATTTTGAAATAGACTGGAGTAGTTTCCTATAAGTTGCAATTGTATTTTAGGAATTTGCAAGTGTTTGGAAATGACAATCAAACGGTCTTCTGGAAATTTGTAAAATATTCTCTTAATTAAAGGAGTTATGATAACAGATCTTTGCTAAAAACACAGCTATATATTTTTTTTTTTTTAAACTTAATGCATTTAAGTCAATGCTATGGATCATAACCGTGTTTAACCCTTTAGCAACTAGATGTCTCTGGAATCTAAATGCATCTCCAATATGTGTATGCTAGTTTTTAATTCTAACTCTACGAATAATTTTCCTGCCTGAATAATTTTATTTATTTATTTCAGGTACTTATATAGCGCCGTCGATTTACGCAGTGCTTTACATATCTATTGTACATTCACATCAGTCCCTAGCCCTCAAGGGGTGTACAATCTAAGGTCCCTAACTCACATTCATACATATACTATGGACAATTTAGACAGGATCCAATTAACCTACCAACATGTCTTTGGAGAGTGGGAGGAAACTGGAGTACCCGGAGGAAACCCACACAGCCACAGGGAAAACATGCAAACTCCAGCCAGGCGGTGCCAGGCAGAAGTGCTACCCATTTAGCCACTGTGCTGCCCTGTTTTTAAGTCTGAGTAAGACTTTTATTTGGTATTCTGTTTTAATAAATTCCCTGTTTGAGTTTTTTTTATTATTAGCTGGCAAATGTTCACAAATGTATAAAAACTGCAATTTTCCCTCAACAGCTTATCATTTTTTTTTAAGCAAATTCTCGGTTTTGCATGTTTTACATAGTTACATTGGTCCTGCTTGGACCAAGACAACTATGAGTATAACATACATGTGACTTGTGAGATCCCTCAGACAGCTGGAAATCACTGTAGTAGGCACTGCTACGCCATTGGCATCTCCAATGCCGAGTGACTGCTCTCCTGCATTTTGAACACAGGAGGTTGGCCGCTAAGCTTAGGTGCCATGCAAGGAATACGTTTAATTTTCTTAATGATTGCAAAGCTCTGATTGGACGAGGTAGAAAGTAAAACATAACTGCCCCACCTCTCCACCTTGTCCATTCGGTGAATACTTTACTTCTCCCGAGCCTCTTCCATCCATTTTAGCTGATTGCCCTAATCTGTCTGACAATCTCCTGTTCTGTCTGCTTTCAGGTAATCCCTGAAAACTATTTTTTTTCCGGGAAGCATATAATGCTACTAGCTAGATAATTAATATTACTTTCTCAAACAACTCATCCCCGCACAATTATCACCTTTTGTACATGTTTACCCTCTATTTAGACTGTAAGCTCCCGTGTGCAAGGACCCCCATACCCTCTTGTCTTAAATAGTATTGTAAATGTACTGTCTCCTTTTATTTTTTAAAGTGTTTCCCAAACTGTTGGTGCTATACAGGGGCGGACTGACTATTTGGGAACTCAGGCACTGCCCGTTGGCCCGGGGTCAGTAGAGGGCCCCATGAGATGCCTCTGGTACCTTTCATAGGCTTTTTTGGGTGTGGTTTGAGTGTGGCCAAGTACACAGGGGCCCCATGATCCCCTATTGCCCGGGGGCCCCATGAGTTGTCAGTCCACCCCTGGTGCTATATACATCTTATATCATAATAATAATAACCTACTCATAATTACCTAGACTGTTGTCATTGGAAAAAGTCTTTCCTTTGGAATATTTCCCTATTTTTGTTGTTCTGACAACCAAATATATTGTTTCTTGTCCCTCACTTTTAATCCTGCTGACAGTGGTCACTAGGACAAAGAAAGAAAGTGAATTTACCATACGGGGAACACAGACAGCAAGACAAAAACTACCAAGGGTTCAACATTTTCACAACTTTATCCAAAACTAAAAAACATAAGGGGCTTTGAGTACACTGTAAGAGAATTTCTAACTTTTTATTTTATATTTAGCAAAACTTTTGTTACATTTTATTATATTTAACTGTATTTTTTTTCTATTATGACACAGATCATGCTGAAAAATAATATTACAACAATATCCTTGTTGGGATTCCACAATATTGGCAAATCTAACCTTCTGGTCTTCATCTTAATCCTTATTATATATAGTGTGGCAATATGCGGAAACCTCCTAATCGTCATGCTGGTGTCCTGCTGCAAAACCCTCCACTCTCCCATGTACTTCTTCCTCTCCCACCTGTCTCTATGTGACATTGTATTGATTACTGATATTGCCCCCAACATGCTTAATATTTTACGTGGGCAGACATCCATATCTTTCCCTGGATGCATCACTCAGCTTTATTTTTTTTTGTTTTATCAGAGACATCTGAATGTTTTCTTCTGACAGTAATGTCCTATGATCGCTATCTAGCTATTTGTTATCCTTTGCATTATGTCTCCATTATGAGTCAAGTTCTTTGCATTACATTTGTTGTTGTAGCCTGGCTGTTAAGTAGCTTTTTAACATCTTTTATAATACATGGTGTGTGTTCATTAGAATTTTGCGGGCCAAATATTATTGACCAATTCTTCTGTGATTTTTATCCTGTGCTAAAACTTTCCTGTTCAGACACATCCATGGTACAGATGGAGTCCACCTTGCTTTGTACTGCTGTCATAGCCTTGCCATTCCTCTTGATAGCACTCTCATATACAGTCATGGCCGAAATTGTTGGCACCCTTGATATTTCTCCAGGAAATCATGTATTTCTCACGAAACGTATTGCATTAACACATGTTTTGCTATACACATGTTTATTCCCTTTGTGTGTATTGGGACAAAACAAAAAAAGGGAGGAAAGAAAGCAAATTCGACATAATGTCACACAAACCTCCAAAAATGGGCTGGACAAAAGTATTGGCACCCTTTCACAACTGCGGATAAATAAGAATGTTACAAGCATGTGATGCTCCTGTAAACTCACCTGGGGCAAGTAACAGGTGTGGGCAATATAGAAATCACACCTGAAAGCAGATAAAAAGGAGAGACGTTCACTTAACCTTTGCATTGTGTGTCTGTCTGTGCCACACTAAGCATGGACAACAGAAAGAGGAGACGAGAACTGTCTGAGGACCTGAGAACCAAAATTGTGGCAAAATATCAACAATCTCAAGGTTACAAGTCCATCTCCAGAGAACTAGATTTGCCTTTGTCCACAGTGCGCAACATTATCAAGAAGTTTGCAACCCATGGCACTGTAGCTAATCTCCCTGGTCGTGGACGGATGAGGAAAATTGATGAAAGATTGCAACGCAGAATAGTCCGGATGGTGGATAAGCAGCCCCAAACATGTTCCAAAGACATTCAAGCTGTCCTGCAGGCTCAGGGAGCATCAGTGTCAGCGCGAACTATCCGTCGACATTTAAATGAAATGAAACGCTATGGCAGGAGACCCAGGAGGACCCCACTGCTGACACAGAGACATAAAAAAGCAAGACTACAGTTTGCCAAAATGTACTTGAGTAAGCCAAAAGCCTTCTGGGGAAAACGTCTTGTGGACAGATGAGACCAAGATAGAGCTTTTCGGTAAAGCACATCATTCTACTGTTTACCGAAAACGGAATGAGGCCTACAAAGAACAAAACACAGTACCTACGGTAAAATATGGTGGAGGTTCAAATGATGTTTTGGGGTTGTTTTGCTGCCTCTGGCACTGGGTGCCTTGACTGTGTGCAAGGCATCATGAAATCTGAGGATTACCAAAGGATTTTGGGTCGCACTGTAGGGCCCAGTGTCAGAAAGCTGGGTTTGCGTCCAAGATCCTGGGTCTTCCAGCAGGACAATGACCCCAAACATACGTCAAAAAGCACTCAGAAATGGATGGCAAAGAAGCGCTGGAGAGTTCTGAAGTGGCCAGCAATGAGCCCAGATCTAAATCCCATTGAACACCTGTGGAGAGATCTTAAAATTGCTGTTGGGAAGGGGTGTCCTTCCAATAAGAGAGACCTGGAGCTGTTTGCAAAGGAAGAGTGGTCCAAAATTCCGGGTGAGAGGTGTCAGAAGCTTATTGATGGTTATAGGAAGCGACTGATTTCAGTTATGTTTTCCAAAGGGTGTGCAACCAAATATTAAGTTAAGGGTGCCAATACTTTTGTCCAGCCCATTTTTGGGGTTTTGTGTGACATTATGTCATATTTGCTTTTCTGCCTCTGTTTTATATTTGTTCCAATACATACAAAGGGAATAAACATGTGTATAGCAAAACATGTGTTAATGCAATACCTTTTTTGTGTGAAATACTTGATTTTCAGGAAAAATATCAAGGGTGCCAACAATTTCGGCCATGACTGTATATACATTGCATTAACCATATTAAAGATATCATCAAGTTCAGGAAGACTGAAATCCTTTTCTACTTGCAGCTCCCATCTGACAGTCGTGTCTATATTTTATGGGACTCTACTCTCCATGTATGTCCTTCCAAATGAAGGACAGTCACAGATAATCAGTAAAATACTGTCTTTATTGTACACTGTGTTTACTCCATTTTTAAACCCTTTTATATACAGTTTGAGGAATAAAGACATCAAAAATGCTTTGGGATATGTAATGCATACTAAAAAAAGCCTGTGAGTCCCATGGATCCAAAATGCTGCATACTTAGTATGCTGGATGATCTAGTCTTAGAGACATTTACGAAGGAGGCTATAGTGCGGGCCTTGTTCCAAGCCCACAAACTTATACTGATCCATTGGAAGTCAAAGAATCTGCCACTCTGGGGGAATGGATCAAGAATGTATTCAGCAATTTAAGATTAGAGAAATGTATTTACCAGCATAGAGGATGTTCAAATAAATATGAAAACTATGGGCTCCATGGTTGGAGGATCCTGGTCTGGCAGTTACAGATCTAATAATGGATAGGTTGTTAAGATGTTACTCTGGGTAGAGATACACTTGTATCCATTGCATATATGTTGACTAGGATTAGTCTAAGTCAGGGGTGGCCAACCTGCGGATCTCCAGCTGCTGCAGGACTACAAGTTCCATCATGCCTCTGCAAATCAGTAACTTTCCATCTTTGCAATGCCTCATGGGAAATGTAGTTTCACAACAGCTGGAGAGCCACAGGTTAGCCACCCCTGGTCTAAGTGATTGTGAACCGATTTCAATAATGCAGATGTATACTTCTCATGTGAAACTTGATGCTGTATTGGTTGACTTTATTCTGTTCACACTCTTTTAACCTCCCTGGCGGTATTCCCGAGTGTAGCTCGGGGTAACATTTCAGTACCAAAAGCGGTAACCCCGAGCTACACTCAGGAATACCATGCGGCGCTGCTCCGGCATGTGTTCTTCACTTACCTTACCCTGCGCTCCCACGATGTGTCCCCTGCAGCGTCCCCGGCCATCTCCTCCGGCCGATGCCGGCATCCGGCTTCTGTGTCCTGTCCCTGTGACGTCGGGACGTACGGGCGCCGCCGGCGGCGGGAAATTTAAAAATTTTAAAAAATGTCATTTTTTTTTTTTTTACATTTTACACAGTAAAACATTGCTGTTTCAACCTATTTCACATACATATTGTCCCGAGTGCTTTGTCCTGCGCCCTGCCTGCATTTTGTCTGTTCTTTCTGCCTGGAAACTGAGAAACGTCCATGGCGTCCAAAAAGTGTCCCTTTAGGTCAAAAGCGGTTTAGATCAGCTAGAGAACAGCGATAGTAAATCAGAACTACTTGCAGAATTGAGTGATAATGATTCGTGGGGGAAATTCGTCATCAGAAACTGAAAACGATTTTGCGACTGAGCTCAGCAATGTGCGAACTTGGCGCTCTATTTCACATTTCAGTGTTTTTGGTTTGATTATATTATTGAATTAAATTTTTTATTATTTTTATATTATTTTTATGATTATTTAATAAATTATAATTTATGATTTTGTGTTTCAAATTTTATCATATCCGGAATGTTTAATAGACTCTTGTTCGGACAGATTTCAGTGAGTTTTTCCTAAAAATTACAGCCTACAATAAAAAAAATACATATTTCCATGCAAAAAAATGGTACCGCTTTCAGCACCAAAAATCTGAAATAATCATACCGCCAGGGAGGTTAAGAGAGAGTTATGCTGTCTTGTCTTGTATGGCAATGTTTTAGCTCCTCTTGTTAATAAAGATTATTTTTGGATTTAAAAAAAAGCCTGTGAGGCTTTTGCAAAATAAAAAGAAAAGAAGAAGAAGAAAATCCACGCTACTTTAAGAATAAAGTAGTAAATACTAAACCTTCCTGATGCCTGGACTGCTGGTCACTTCACTGTTTATAGGTACAGTTTGTGCGCAACGTGGGATCTGCTCAAATCTGAGCCCTCCAATGCCAGGACTTTGGGCCTCAATAATTACCAACATAGTGGCCAGTGGGAGGGGTTTGAAGAAACTAACGGGCTTTAGTTCCCAGTGCCACCCCTTAGTTAGGACCTCCCTGGTTTTAGGATTTTGGGGCAGAGACATTTGGTTCTCCAGTTGTCTTTAGTGTTTTACGCGATTGGTATCTGTTATTTTTTACTCGTTCACTGTTATTGCCATTGTTTACTTGCTTTGTTGGGTGTTTTGTACAAATAAATATTCCTTCTTTAGCCTTGGTTTATCAGAAGGCCTTTAACATCCAGAATCAGGGGAACTATACATCAGGGGTTAAGCACTACATTCGTTATTACCGTATTTGCCGGCGTATAAGACGACCCCCTACTTTTCCTGTTAAAATATAGGGTTTGAGCTATACTCGCCGTATAAGACTACCCCTCTTCCAACACACACCAAATAAAAATGAAAAAACATCAGATTTGATTTCAATATGGTATTCCAATGATGGGGTGCTATTCCTCCCACTGACACCAATGATGGGGCACGATTCCTCGCTCTGACACCAATGATGGGGCACTATTCCTCCCACTGATACCAATGATGAGGCACTACTCCTCCCACTGACACCAACGATGGGGCACTACTTCATCCACTGACACCAATGATGAGGCACTATTCCTCCCACTGACACCAATGATAGTGCCCCATCATTAGTGTCAGTGTGTGAGGAATAGTGTCCCATCATTAGTGTCAGTGGGAGGAATAGTGCCCCATCATTAATCAGTGGGAGGAATAGTGCCCCATCATTGGTGTCAGTGGGAAGAATCGTGCCCCATCATTGGTGTCAGTGGGAGGAATAGTGTCCCATCATTAGTGTCAGTGGGAGGAATAGTGCTCCATCATTGATGTCAGTGGGAGGAATAGCGCCCCATCATTGGTGTCAGTGGGAGGAATAGTGCCCCATCATTGGTATCAGTGGCAGGAATTGCGCCCCATCATTGGTGTCATTGGGAGGAATAGCACCCCATCATTGGTATCAGTGGAAGGAATAGTGCCCCATCGTTGGTATCAGTGGGGAGAATAGTGCCCCATCATTGGTGTCAGTGGGAGGGGAATAGTGCCCCATCGTTGGTGTCAGTGGAGAGGAGGAATAGTGCCCCATCGTTGGTGTCAGTGGGGGAGGAACAGTGCCTCATCGTTGGTGTCAGTGTGGAGGAGGAATAGTGCCTCATCGTTGGTGTCAGTGGGGGGAGGAATAGTGCCTAATGGTTGGTGTGAGTGGGAGAGGAATAGTGCCCCATCATTGGTGTCATTGGGGAGGAGGAATAGTGTCCCATCGTTGGTTTTAGTGGGAGAGGAATAGTGCCTCATCGTTGGTGTCAGTGGGGGAGGAACAGTGCCTCATCGTTGGTGTCAGTGGGGGAGGAACAGTGCCCCATCGTTAGTGTCAGTGGGGGAGAGGAATAGTGCCAAGAGTGTCACAGCATGGTGCTGCTGCACAATAACCGGCCGCTCCCTCACTCGATTTTTGCTGGGCCGCTTGGCTCCGCCTCCTTGCCGGTGATTGGTTGCCTGTGTGCCTTTCCAGTGCTGGTGCCCAATCACCGGTGAGGAGGCAGAGCCGAGCGGCCACGCAACCATCAAGCGGCCGAACTGAAAGAAGGAGCAGCCGCGCTTCCTGGACCGGATCGTCGTGGGACCGGGACCGGAGCCAGGTAAGGTACAGCAGCCCCCTGCCCGCCCCTGTACTTAGTGTCCCTTTCGCCACCCCTCAAAAAAGTGCCACCCTGACACCGGCTCACCGTATAATACGACCCCCGTCCTTTCAGAAGATTTTCATGGGTTAAAAAGTCGTCTTATAATCCGGCAAATACGGTAAGTCACGGTTAGTGATATTCATATCTTCCCTATTAGGTGTAAAATCCTTTGTGCCACCTGATAGTAAAAGAGGTCAAAATACCATTGGACCCAACTTGTTAATGGATTAGATGTTCAAAGGTCAGGACTGGGAAAGCCTCATAATTCTAAAGTAAAGTAATCAAATGGTTATTTGAACCTCTTGGTTAAATCACCAAATGCGCTTGTTACTGGGTCAGGTTAATTACGCCACTAACCCTTCACACTGCCACCACCATCTTGAAATGTACAGAGAAGACGGACTCTGTCAGAAATACACTATAATGATTGAAAAGTCACCTGTCCAATATGGTTAATTGGGCAGGGAGTAAACAAACACAGTAGCGTCTCTTCAAAAGGCAGGAATTCGTGAATTGCAGGTAAGCGCTTAAAAACAGTTTAACACTTTCAGAAAGAAAGATTTATTACTAAAAGAGTCAAACAGGGGCAGTAAAATATTTACAAAGAGATGTCACAAAAATATATATATATGTATATAAAGACACAGCAAAGAGATAATTAGGAAGGAAATTACAGGGTTAAGTTACTTGCCCTTAGCCTGGGTTTGCAGATCCAAGTTGCAGAGCAGGATGATTCTTTATCTCCTTCTTCCATGTTCCATGGGAGATCTGTTACAACTCTAACTCTCAGACTTGCTATCCTGTCTCTTTTTAAAATCCCTCTGCCAGGGGGGGTGGCCTTGAGTCTGCCCAATACAATATGTTGGGCAGAATGTCAGTGGACTCTCAGTTAAAACTAACAGCTTCATAATCCATGACATGAAACATACAGTTGACCTGAGGAATGTTCAATTCTCTTTTAAGTCCGGGAGAGAAGCTATTATCTGTTTTATGATGGGTGAAAAAGGTTACACTTACACAAACGGCTGGCACCAAACTAGGGATGCTTAACCTGGGCTGACCCACACCATCTGTCAGGAGATAATGTTTGCCTCTCAGGACTGGAGGGGGTAGGGAGTGTGAGGAATACTTTCCCTACAGAAAAGAAAAAGGGGAGCTCCACTTCCAACTCTGATGAGCATGTTTGCTACAATTGCCACATCTCCATTTCAGCCCAGACTTTGCTCCGAGTGATTTCCATCTGTTTGGACCCCTGAAAGAGTTCCTTGGAGGTCAGCATTTCAGCACTGATGATGAAGTAAAGCAGGCTGTCTTAGGATGGTTCAGGAGTACTGACAAATCTTTCTATGCCAAAGCTTTCCAGTCATTAGTTAAATGCTGGGATACAT